AGAGGAAAAAAAACAACAACTCAGGTGAGAGGAAGTAAAAAAATAAGCAGACCGTGAGCTTGCAAGAAGGTAAGGCTGGACAGCAAGAAGGTCGCAGGGCTTGGGAAGTTGCCACATTCTTTCAGGGTTGTGAGCTCTGATGTCCATTGCATTCCAGCCACGCACAATGCCCTGAAGAAGAGATGCAGCAAGATATCCTGCAGGTGCCCAACTAATCCCAGTCAGAGAAACCAGTCCTAGTTCCTTCCCAGCTATCAGAATTGGGCTCCTACAGAGTCCAGACTCTAACTCTGCATAACTGGGGACTGAACATAAATTGCTGGCTTGGTTAACACAAATTGTCAACTGTTCTTTCTATTTCATTAGTTCCAGCAAATACAATTATGAATACAGGCCTCCTGCCCTTTAGGATGATTAACATTCCCTTTCGTTAACGTCCCCAACACTGCTGACCCACATTCAACTTGTGAAATCCAGTTACATGTAAACTGCAATGCTCTGTGTCAGCAAGATGTGCCAGACCACCAGAGCCAGGAGCACAGCACAAGCTCTGCTCCTTTCTGGAAATAAATGCAGTTCTTTAACTACAAAACAGCCAAGACGACCCAGTCCTTTAGCATAAGAATGGGCACCAAATCCTTCTTTGCTTTACTTTTTTAGGTAAAAGGGGACACAAGCCAGGAATGCTCAGCTGTTATCTTCAGATGTCACATCAAAGACCACTTGACCTGGCAAACATCCATAGGAAAGGAAAACAGATTCCCAATCCTTATCAATAGCAGGCTACCTTTTAAATTCATGAGCAGCAATGAATACAAGCCTCCCAAGTTATTAATTTCACCTTCAAAGTCACCTACAAAGACAGGGCACGCTATTTCTCAAGTGAGCACAGATATTCATACTGGAATTCCTTTTGAAACAGAAGAGCCTGGTTCCCAAGGAGCAGCCATGATGAGCAAACCAGCTTTTCTCTAAGAGAACGTGACATGGGGTCAAGTTTGTGCAGGGATTTGATGGCTATATTTGAACGCTGCTTGATTCTTCTATGCAACTACTACTGGAAGAAATCATCTCTGGAAGGGGTTGCCAGCACACTCACCAATTGTACTACATTTGTGTAGTATGTTCAAAGGATTCTTTCAGATCACAAATGGAACCATTTTACCAAGCCTTTACTTTCTTCTAAGTCACTTCCAATCCGTTCCAAGCGTTACTGGGATGAAACCAACCTCTTAGTGGCTGTTTTCTATTCCCACTGCCATTTCAAAAAATACTTCCCATACAGATTCACCCTTTTCAGGGTATTTTACATCAGTACCTCCCTTCTAACCTCAAGAATCCCAGAGCTTGAAGCAAATAACTCTCCCCTCCTTCCTCACTCCTCTCCTGGAGTTGGCAATGACAGCGCCTGCAGAGAAGGAGAACTACTGAAATAACAGCACTGGGGATTTTCAGGCAAAAAGAGCCCATTTGCTTGGCAGGGTGGGATTTTAAAGGAAACCTGACCTCAGAGTTAAGAAAGCTTCCAGGTCAAGTTTCAGCTCCTAGCTGTTCCACATCAGCCTTCCCAGCCCTGCCACTCACACAGCCAACAGATCCCAGCTGTTCTCAACACAGGTATTTCCCTCAGCATGACTGCCTTCAGAGGGACTTCATCTCCTCCACTCAGCTGAGGGGAATTTCAAGGCACACAAAGCACCGCCTCAGGAGCAGCTCCCACTCCAGCAGGCTCACTCACAGGTGACAGCAGCAACTGCACCTACATCCCACCCTGAGAACAGCTGTGCTGCTTCCTAAAGCAAACAAACCACCTTCCCTAGCTTCAGAGCTGCAGGCACCAGTAAGCTGCTGTTTAGCAGAGCTTCTTCACAGCTGGCCATTCCATCTCGTTCAATCATTCATAAATAAAGCACAGGAGTTAACGTCAGTCCTGTCTGTTCTGAACGCAGCTTCCTAAGGTTGTGGACATTTTGCCATTCTTCAGGAAAAAAAAAAAGAAAAAGCAACCGAATGCAAGAGTGCCTCTGCTTCAGTGCAAACTTTGAGTTAACATCACCCAAGAGAAGCCTCGACTCAACAAGAAGGGCTGAATACATCAACGTTCCTTGCAGCCAAAGGATTGATCTCTGCTTCAGAGGAGAAGCCTTCTGCATTCGAAGCATCCAAGCTGCTACCACTGCTTCTAGTAGGGAAACTCAGCATCACCATGGGAAAAAAGTGACTGAGCCCTGTGCAAGGGCAACAGTAGCTGAACTGCGGGTTAAATTGTAGCATGTAACATTTGAAACTGACATCAGTTTATGCAACACACGCAAACGTATCCCAGTTCTGAACAGAAAGCTCCAGTAGATGTTTAGCAATTGATTTCTAAACAGCCCCTGCAATGAGTTTCACGCAGTTACCTGGGAAAAAGACAGATAAATCATCAACAAAGCAACCCCACGTTGAAACGGCTCCATAAATCAGAACGCAAGTCCCAAAATTCAGACGGCGACTCAAGCATGACAGCTACAGCCCTCCTCACGACCCCAAGCCGCTAACGCAGAAGCAGGACAGCATCGCGACCGAGCTCTCCGGGCTGCGCTTCGAGCCGCCCGCACCGCACCGCAGTTTTTATCCCCCGCCGGGCTCCATCGGCAGCGCTGCCGTCTGACAGCACCGCCCGGCTGCGGCCCACGGCCCGGCCCGGCTCTCTCCCCGCACGGCCCGGCTCGGCCCGGCGCGGCTCCGGCTCCACCGGCGGTACCCGACCGGGGCAGAGCCGACGGGAGGAGGCGGACGGCACGAAACGCGGCCGGGCCGGGCTCCTCACCTTGGCCCGGGTCACCAGGTGCGTGGCCAGCTTCACGACGGCGAAGTTGCCCTTGCCGATGGTGCGCTCGATCTCGTAGTAGCCGATGCGAGCGGGTCCCGGGGGTCTGGGGGGCGGCGGGGCCGGGGGCAGCCGCGGGGCCGGAGGGGGCCCCCCCGCACCGCTCGCCGCCGCCGCTGCAGCCGCCGCCGCCATCTTGTAGCGAGGAGCAAACCCCCCCCCTCGGGGCTGCGGCACCGCGTGAGCTCATCCGCGGGGGGGGCGGGGGGCGGGCGGCTGCCATGGCGACCCGGCGGGGCGGGCCGAGTGACGTCAGCGCCGCCGTGACGCCCCCGTACGTCACCGGCCGCCGAGGCGCGGGATTGGCCGAGGGGCGCGGCCTGGGAGCCCCGTGCGGCGCGGCGGGGAGGGCGCCCCCGCGTGGGGCGGCGGTGGAGGGCAGAAGGTCGCGGGTTCGAATCCTCGACGCCTCGACGCAGGGCAGCTGGCCGGTCTTCTCCAAACTTCATTTCGATCTCCAGCCGCTCGCTTCCTCGCACTACGACGATCTTTCACCGCAGTTACGTATCCGTGCTTCGTTCCTTTTGTGGCACGATGGAAAGAATGCTACTTTCAGCCTGGTAGAAAGTTCTACTGCCTTAATATTGTACCCATAATTGGAGCGTTAACACTTTGACTCCCAAATGCACTACATGATGTTATGATGTGGAATACTGAAAACCAAAAAACACAAAACCATGACAAATATCTTTTCTAAGAGCAAGCATCCAGCCTCGAAAATATTTGCAACTGCAGGCCTGGCTGCTCTGAGCAAAGCACTCAGTCCCTTACAGGACACTCAGGAATGTCACTGTGGGTCTGCAGACAGCCCAGACTCAGTGGAGCCCAGCACATCCCTGCAGCTCATCGCACTGCTGTTGTGTGCTGGGAAAATGGCTGCAGGGTTACATAAAGCAGGCAGGGGCACTGTGCTGGCAGCACGCCGGGATCGCCACCCCTCTGTGTGCTTCCTGGCAGCAACCTTAGGAGCAATCCTCCCTCAGAGGTGTAGCAGGCATGAAAAGGGATCCATAGAAACAAGGGGGCCTGGGCAGGAGTCGCAGGCAATGCACAACTGTAGTTCAGAGATTAAATCTCCGAAAAGCCTGAATGAGGAGCTACAAAAACGCTCCAATTCTTCTGCTCACCGCCCATGGTTCACAGGCACTGCACTTGATCATAGCTGGCTTTTTGCACCCCTCAATTTCCACCCAGCAGTGCCTCCCACCCGCAGGGATCTTCCCAGAAGTTTGTTGTTGAGGTTGCCTGGGGAAACGGCTGAATTCGCCTCAAGTGGTCTGGCTGTTGCTAAGAGCAACATTTCAGCTGCAGCTGCCCATGAAAGAAGACAGGTGTGCTAGTTATGTGTTTTAAAAAGCCGTGAAAGAGCAAAAGACTGCTTGAAGCACAGCCTTCCTTTAATAATCATTAATCCTTGCCCTGCTGGCACCGATCACGTGGAACAGTGACAGCCACTGGCAAGCGGCTGGAGCGCAGGGAACCTGAACCACCACCACCTCACCATCTCCCTATTTACCCCATGCTTTCACAAAGCTGCCTCCTTGCCACTGGGTCTGCCTCGTCCTGCCCTGTTCCTGCTTCGGGACAAAGCAGAGAGAGAAACCAAATGGTCTTCTCTTTGCTGCTTTAACTTCAAAGTACAGAACTCTGGGGCTGCAGAAACTGCCCATGGCCTTGGGAACGCCACAGTGCGCAGCTCACTCCAGCAAGAAGGGTCTACGAGGAACACGTGCAGCTCTCACCGGTCACAGTGAGACTGAAAAGATGCACAGAGAGGTGGGGACGCTCGGAATGCAGCGATGGCTCTGCGGTCTGGTGGCTCCACCATGTTTTGCTGCACCTGCACGGCACTGACCTACAGCAGCCCTGTCACCGCAGGCTGCCGCCAGCCCGCCTCACCTCACTCCCCGACTCCAGGCCGCGGGCCCGCCTCCACCGGCCCGGCAGAGCGACTAGACCAACGTCACCGCCTCGAGAATGACGTCATAGCGACGTCACCGCGGCGCGGTGCCCCCTAGGGGCCGAGCGCAGATGAGCTCTGGGCGAGACTTCCGGCAGCGCGGCAGGAAGCGCCGCGCGGAGGCGAGTGGCGATTGGTCGCGTGGCGGCGGCGGAAGCGGAAGTGGCGTTGGCGCAGGCGCGGAGAGAGCCCGGGCCGAGGGAGGGAGGCGCCCGCCCGAGCGAGCTATGGAGCTGCGGGGGGAGCTGCTGTCGCCGTGAGTGCGCGGGCACCGCCCGGCCCCGCCCCGGGCAGGCTGCAGGGCTCCGGGCCTCGCCTCGTTCCATGGGGGGCGGCGGGATGGCGGCGCCGTGCTTTCATCCCCTCCCTGCCCGGCGGTTGCGAGCGGCCCGTGGGAGCCGTTGGGCGCGGGCGGCTGCGGGCTCTGCTCAGGCGTTGGCCGCGGGGCGGGGCGGGATCCGGCCCTCAGCGCTGCCATCCGAGGGAGGAGTGCGGCTTCGTCCCCGTGCCCGCAGGGTACAGCTCGCAGGGTACAGCCCCGCTGCCCGGCCTAGCGCCTGCGCGCTCGGACCTGGTTTTGTTGCGGTGCCTGTGCTCTGCGGGCTGCCGGGCCGCTGGGTGAAGGGCTGCGTTTGCCCCGATGGCCGCTGCGCTTCCTGCCCGAGATCCCTGGGGATCGGCTCGGCCGCGATGCGGAGCCTCCTGCAGCCGCTTAATCCACCTGTACTGCGCGGCTCAGTAGCCGTAAGCTGGCTATCGCTGTACTAATAGGAGCTAATCCTCGGATTACCAGCATTTATTATAGTTAAGGATTTGCCCGGCTGAGGTGTGCTTCTGCAGGACGGTCTCTGAAATGAGCTTTTCTTTGTCTTTTTAAACGTGTTGTTTTCGTGTGTCAGTAGATGGCTTCAGGGAGGGCTGCCTGCAGTCTGGCAGTCCTGCACTGAGTGAAATGGATTTTGTTGTCAGCTAAAACTTAACGTACTTAGGAATGGTCATGAATTGTCCGTTGTGAATGTCAGGAAGTGCAGTGGTTTTTCTGCCAGCCTGCCTTTTCCCCTGTGCTTGGATTAGCTGCTGAAAGCAGCCTGTCTGAAATGTTCTTTCCACAGGAATAGAATGAGCTGTGGGGACTCGAATCCTGCAGCAGTGCCGCATGCTGCTGAGGATGCTCAGGGAGATGACAGATGGATGTCACAGGTGAGAGAGCTGTTGTGGGAGATGGGAGCCTCTTTCCTGAGGGCTGGGGGCTGCTGGGTGAGTGCTGCACGTGTCTGTCTGACCACGTTCTTGATTTGAGGTTGTAAGAGCTCTGCTGCCCAACAGCTGGCAGCATTCTGATGCTTCCCTCACTTGAATTGATGAAAGAAGGCAAAAAGCAGCATGACCAGAAAACTTCACTGTGGAATGTTTTCAGAAAATAGTCCTGTTGCCCCATTAACTGAGAGAAATTGCCAACCCCATTGTTAAACCAAGTGCAAAATAGTGCTTTCCGGTGTGTATCTTTGCAAGGGAGTGATAAAGCTGAAAATCAGAGCTGAAGCGTTTGGTCTCCCAGTCTCTTTCTGCAACACTTCCTCCTGCAGAGTGAAACAGTCAGAGGATACTCGCTGCACTGACTAACTGTTAATTTATCTGCTCTTTAATTGTTGAATTTTGTGGGTGCCTAACATATGGGTTTCATATGGGTGGCATGGAGTAGACAAATGCTGCTCTTCTCAGAGCCGAGGTTGCAACCCCTATTAGAGTTTGTGCAGTTGAGGGGATTGTCCAGTAGTTCGTGGGTTAACAGAAGCACATTGGAGGGCAGACAGGAGGGAGCAGGGGGAACTGGTTGGGCAACTGTCCCTTTCTGTCCTGCAGCAGAGATGCTGATGAGCAGTGATCAGTCTGAGCTTACACTTATACTGCTTTCTTTTAAACAGCACAATAGATTTGTTTTGGACTGCAAAGACAAGGAACCTGATGTGCTCTTCGTGGGTGATTCCATGGTGCAGTTGCTACAGCAATATGAGGTACTGATTAAAACAAAACAAAAAAAAAGAAAAGGCAATTGTGGGGTTATGTGAATTAGAATTTCTAATCCATTAGCGTACAATTACTCGCTGTCCAGACTATTTCTTTTGTTCCACTCTGATTTTATTGCTGTGTCTTCTGGTTTATTCCTTAGTCACCCAGTGCCCGTTCAAAGTCTTGCTGATTTATCTCTATAAGCCATTTGTCATTCCCTGAAGCAATTAATAACTGCCTTCGCTTTGTACACATACACAACCCTTCCTCGATTCCAAATTCTCCAGAACATGCCAGTGAAATCTTTGTAGGTGTGTCTTTCTCAGCCAGAACACGTTTAACCCTTGAGGTGCTATGTGCACTGACACACCTGCTTTTCTGTTGACAAAGTGTTGAAGATCTTCTCAGAAGTGAGATTTACATTAAGGACAAGCTGGGTTGTGTTCCTTTGCTTAATCTATGAAACTGCTGGAGCAAAACTAAGAATTTTGCTGCTCCACAGTGGTGGTAACTGAGTAACATTGTTCTCCAAAAGCTGCTTCCCAGTGTAGTTCACTTTTTCTAGTTTTGTTTCCTGGCAATGTGGATGCCTTCTTTAGAAGTCTGTAATTAGCTAAGTGAGGGACACCGTGATCTGCAGCAGCTCCCTTCTGTATCTCTGATGCCAAATAGCTGTTCAGGAGAGCTTCCCCTTCCTCTGTGCCAGGATTGAGTGCATGAATGTCAGCAATTCTGTCTCATCTGGACCATGAAGTAAAGCTTCATCCTGTGCTTAAATGCCACTTCTGGAAGTGAGTTTTCAGAGGGTTTCTCACTGCTGCTTCCAGTGTTACTGAAGACATTGTGTGTCTGTAGTATCTTTCTCTCGTGATCTGGATGCTCCTCTCAATGAGGAAACTGACCTCTGATTGCAGATCTGGCGAGAGCTCTTCTCACCACTTCATGCATTGAATTTTGGGATTGGTGGAGACACCACTGGACACGTTCTGTGGAGACTGAAGAATGGTGAACTGGAGAACATTAAACCGAAGGTATAAACAGCCAACCAAACAAGGCAGCCTTGTGCTGACTCATAAGAGACATCAGGTCCTTGAGTGGTGTAAAACTGAGTGAGCCATTAACTCTTAGGAGAACTTTTGTTGAAGAGCTGTTGCCACTAAGTATGCATAAGGTACTGAAATGTGTTAGGCTGAGCTAGAAGTGCTTGGGAATGGAGCCATAGTTCTCATACAGGTGGCTTTCACTGCTAACGTGCATCAGAGGAAGTCATCAAGAGAAATGGCCTAATAGTCATAGGCTGATCAGCATTTGTGCTGCCATTAGATTCGTTTGGAGTTGCAGTGACTCATACCTGAGGGATGCTCTCAGATAGAGGTGGTGAAACATTTGGCAGAAAGCGAGCAGAGATGCTCATATGTGCAGTGAAGAACAGCTTCCTACTTCACACCTAAAGCTGCAGTCCTGTGCTCTACTGAAAGCAATGAGTGGCCCACCACAGTGTCCAGTAGGAAGGCAGTGTCGCTCATATTTCAATCTGTTATTTAGCAGCTTTAAGTCATTTTGTAAAGAAGTGGAGGTGCACAGTTGTCCTTGTCCTGCAGGGCCTCACGCTGTGCTGTATAAATGCCCTCTTCTTGACCAAGGTATCCTGGAGAGCCACCGAGAGGCTCTGTGGAAAGGGGTGGGCTCACATCTCACAGGCTGTCCGGAAAACCTTCAGAAGTCCTTGTTATTCATCTATACTGGATGCCAAATCTGAAGCTTGTAAGATACCGTCCAAAAGTCAGCATAACTGGCAGCTGAAACCCTGCATTTTTGGTTTATCCTCTAGCTAGCCTGACTCTTGATTGAGCTTGATGACTGTGGGTGATGTTTACGCAGTGCTTTCAGGGTCAGCAAGACTCTTACAGCTTGTTCTCGAAAAAGATGCAAACATTTCTTCTCCTCGTAGGTCATTGTTGTTTGGGTTGGAACAAATAATTACGAAAACACAGCAGAAGAAGTGGCAGGAGGGATTGAGGCCATCGTGCGCCTGATAAATACCCAGCAGCCACAGGCCAAAGTTATTGTGCTGGTATGTTTATTGGAGAGCTGCAGAAGCAGAGCCCTCCGGGGAAGCTGTGTGTTCTCTGCTCTGTGTCTGTGTGGTGCTGGGAGTTACGGTGGTGATGGGGGAGGGCAGTTGTTTCATTTGTCTTCTGCTCTGTGCGTGCATCCCCTCGCCTGGCTTTGCAGAAGTTCTGCTGTTAGCCCCTCCAGATGTGTGGTCGTCCTCATCATCAGTATTGCTGATGATTGCTGTCCCACCTTTGTTGAAATGTTCTGTAAGGAACAGATCAGAGCTGGGATTTGGAAGTCTTAGTTTTCTTCCTGGTCCCTCTTTTTGAGGAGGTGAGCCAAAGCACTCAGCACATCACTGAAACTTTATAAAAGGAACACAAACTGATAGATTTCTTGTTTTAGCAAACAAACAAACAAAAAAAAAGCAAATTCCATGCCAGTTGTGCTTCTGGCTCATCTGGCTCCTTCAGTCACATTTGAAGTTAAATCTAAATGGACAAAATCAGATTCAAGGAATGAGATCCTTTTATCATAGACATCTTCAATCTTGAAAGGGTGCCTGAATTGAAAGGGAAATCATTATTACACCATCAGAGTTGAATGAAAGCTCTTCATTGCCTCCTTCTTGTGTCAGGGCCTGCTACCTCGTGGAGAGAAGCCAAACCCTCTGCGGCAGAAGAATGCCAAGGTGAACCATCTGCTAAAAGCCTCACTCCCCAAACTACCCAATGTGCAGCTCCTGGATGTAGATGCTGGCTTCGTGCACTCGGATGGCACCATCTCGTACCACGATATGTTTGATTTCCTGCACCTGACAGGAGGGGCCTATGCAAAGATCTGCAAACCCCTCCACGAACTGATCATGCAGCTACTGGAGGAGACCCCTGAGGAGAAGCGAGCTGCCCTGGCCTGATTAGCTGATGTCAGTGTTAACGTCACCCAGCCCATCAGATCAGTTCTGTCACTGGCACTACAGAATCCTTCTTTCTTAAAGCACTTTCCATTGTAGAATGTTACAGATGTTCATATCTCGTGTTTTGAGGGGGAAGGCTGATGTTTAACTGGTCTTGTACAGATGAGGGCCAGCTTGTTTGGTTTTATGCAGGAGGAAATTAGCTGAAGAGGAGTTTTACTTTTAAACCATTCCTCATTTAAAATGAGCACAGGACTGTCACTCTGTGCCCCTCTCACGTGTTGTTGCTCTGTGGTTGTCCTAGAACCTTTTTAGCCTGTCTCTGACAGCCCATACGCAGCTCCTGGCCGCCCTTCCTGGCTATAGGAGTTGTGCTCTGTGTATTAGCCTGTGAACAAGAATTACCTTTCACTTGCTAATAACAGAACAGATGCATTTTTCCAAGCTCAGTCCCACCTTTTAAAGGTTTCTGGTTGTTTTTTTTGGTTGTTTTTTTTCTCCTTTTTCTGGGGTATTCTAAGTGACACGTGTTGTTTCTCACTCCTTATTTCTGAAGCAGCATGAAACTGGAATTCAGAAACCTAAGGGAACAAACTGTTAACTTCTCTAAAGCTCCCAGGTGCTTGTCCTTGTGCTCATTTCACCACACCTGGTAGCCTGGGCACTCTTCATTCCATGTAGTTTCCCTGTGGGCAGTGTCATTCAGGTGCCCCTGATGGCAGCCCTGTCTGTGTATGGCATTGCTGGCTTTTGAAGTCATTCAGTGTAGCATTTTAATTATCCAGTTGGTATCACACAAGGCAGTCACTTCCTCGCTACTATGGAACTGACATTTCATTCCTTTGGGATGCCTGTGCTCCAGGGCTCTTTGCAGTACTGTTCATTGTTCTTTTTTGCTTTGTTTTTGTAAGTATGACTGTTACACCCTTTTTTTTTTTCCTAAGGAGAACCCACATGAACAGCCCCTTTTTTTCGAGGCATAAAACAGTCTGAAGCTTTACAGATTCAAAGGTGTATATTTCTTTATTGCTTCTGTTTTACTTGTATGAACATTTTATTCAAGCAACTGCAGCATGAAGTCAAGGTGTGGCCTTTTGCTGCCCTGGGCACTGCTCCCCTCTAGCCAAGGAAGCCATTGCAGCAGTGCTCTCTTACAGGGGCTGCAGGTAGGTGGGATTTTTGTTTTGTTTTTTTTTTTATGAGCTGGTTATAGCCTACTAATGGGAAAATAGCCTTTCATCTCCAATGAAAGCTTCTCTTTATTCAGAAAGAAACCGTTTTGGACCCTAAACGCAGAGACCTAGGGGAACAGATAAACATACTTGCAAATAAAACAATTTTAAATGAAGTCTGTTCTTCCTTGGCTTACCTACCAGAGCTGGAGCTTGCAGCACTGTGCAAACACTGCAGTGGTTTGCAGCGTGCTAGCTGATGGAGAGCTGCCAGCACAGATCTCTGCACTTCTTTCAGTGTATGAAGAATCTGCAGCCACACGTGCTCATCTCGGCAGGTAAATTGGAGAGGAACGATGGCTTTGGGGCAGGCACTTCCTGCTCTGTTCTTAAGGAGGGGTGTTTAGGTGTCCAGGTTGCTTGCTGTGCCCTGCTGCAATGAAAGTACGTAGGTGCTGTATATAGTCTGTTTGCCCTTTTTTATAACAAAGGGTGCTGGTGTTTAATGCAGTCTATAATCTAGCATTAAGGAATACTTTTACGTCCCCACTACATTCCCCTGTTCCTGTAGATTTGATCATAGCAGGGTTTCTGCCTGGATTGCATGCATAGTTTGTGTTTTGTTTCCAGTATATGTGATCTACACACAGATGAAGGAAGGATGAAGCTTTCCACTTCCCAGAAATAAATACCAGAGTGCTGTAGTAGAGGAGGGATGGCTGTCTCACCCCAAAGGCTGAGCATGTGCTGCTCCCAGGCCTGTGTGCTCTGCAGCCCTGCTGCCTTGCAGAGGGGCTTTAAGGTAATGTTGTTCACACTTCTGGTTAGATGCTCGCTGGAGAAGTTGGTGTAAGAAAGTGTAAAGTGTTAAAAATAGGCTGCAGTGGAGGATTCTTGGGGAAAAGTTCTACTATCCCTCTCCCCCTCCTCACGCCCTCCTTCGGGAGAAGGGTTAAAACCCAAATCTGCTCCCTGTGAACTTTGCAGCTTTTGTAATAAGGCAGTGTGGTAGCTGAACCTATGCATCCCTGCTTTGCTCCCTGCTGTCACAACGTTTGGTTGAAGAGGTGCTGGCTGACAGTAACGTGTTCTCCAACAGAAAAGCTGTAACTTCTTACCTAAGCACCTTTTCAGCTGGGGCTGTGTCCTGCCCTGAGTCAGCTGCTCTTGGTGAGGCACTGTGTGGTGTGAGAGGTTTAGCAGGTTCATGACTGCAGTGTGACCCTGCTGGCTCTCTGCTTAAGCTTGGTGTGCTAAGGTGCCATGTTCTGTGCTTGCTTCAGTGTTCACAGCCCTCTGCTACCTTCATCGTTGCTGGTTATGACCGATGGACAAAGAAAGGGCAGCTTTGCGTCTGAGACTTCAGCTCTATTTGTGGCTGTTTAGTAATAAGCTGTCCTGCTTCACATGGAGGGGTTTTGTGTGGGGGGCAGGCAGGGATTGTTCCTCTTCCCTGAGCAGGCACCGAAAATGAGTGCCTCTCTGTCAGAAGTGCAGGAAAGCTTCAGTTGCAGCCCTGGGTGACCGATGTCCCCTGGGATCGGGGTTGGGCCGCCTCTGCCCAGCCAGCATGAACTGCGTCATTCACATGCTGGCTGTGAGAGAAGTGGCCCTTTGAGGCCTTTTCCTTCTGTAAACAAGCTAGCTGCATTGCTCAGTTCTGTGCTGAAGCCTGGTGTCTTGTCTGTGCTGTGACCTGCGAGTGTCGCCGAGTTTTGTATCTATTGCAGCGGAGAAGAAAAGATGTGAAAGGACAGCAAGTGTCTCTCATAGCTGAGCAGAGGGGGGAGAGCATTGCAGGCGTGATGGGGAGCTGCGAGGAGCAAAGCCTGTGTACGTGGATCAGCAGCTGCCCCATCACTGCTCGCTGACTTGAACCTTCCCAGGAAGAAACTGTGATCCTGCTTTGGCAAAAAAAAGAAAAAAAAAGAAAAAAAGAAAAAAAAAAAAAAGGCATCAGCTGGTAGAACTCACTCTGTTTAGTGCATATTTCGATATAAATGTAAATGTTTCACCCCAACGTGTTGCAGTGTGTGTGTGTGTGCATCTGCACGTGCGTCTTCCGTCCCCCTGTGTTGGTTGCTTGTTTTGTTTCTGCTGTGGGAAGTGCTGCTGGGAGCAGTGCTGCTGCTCGGGGTGGGGAGAGCAGAGACCTTCCAAACTCAATCCGCAGTGTTCCCTCCTGGGACGTTTGAAGCCACACTCATCCGGCTCCTCACTGCTTGTTTATTCTGTCCTTATTTCTGGTCTGATTTGGTTCTTTTTCTTTACTTCTTTTACTCACTGTTTTGAAAACAATGCCAAAGCTCCCAACAAGGTTCTGCAAGTGAAGGTAACTGACTTTTTTGGTCCTAGATGAGACTTTAGCTTGCTTTTGATGACTCTGATTTATTTTTGATAGCTTTGAAATGCGTAGGGAATGCACATCACTACAAAATCAACCTTAAAGTCATTCCAGCGGAGGCAACATTTGCATCTGAACAGGAGCTCAGGAGTTTGGTGTGTTCTGCTCCTGGCTCCTTATGGACTTCTGTCTGTCCCCAAGCAAATCACTCGACCCATTGGCAGCAGCAGCACCACCCATCAACTGGAAGCACCGCACAGACTGCCTGAAAAGTGCTTGAGACCCTCAGTGAGAGGACCTAGAGAAATAAAGTGCACAATAGCAGCAGTGCTCACGTCTCTGTATGTTTGTCCAGCAGAGGCGTTGCGTTCTAGCTCGAGTGCAGGGATGGATTCTGGGGGAATCACAGCATGGTTTGGGTGGAAGGGAGCTGGAAGGCCGCCTGGTGCCGCTCCCTGCAGCGCACAGGGACACCCACAGCTCAGCAGTGCTCACAGCCCCGTCCAGCCTGACCTTGGCTGTCTGCAGGGACGGGGCACCACCGCCTCTCTGGGCAACCTGTGCCAGCGCCTCACCGCCCTCACTGCCAAACCTTCTTCCTCAGCTCCACCTCAATCTCCCCTCTTGTAGTCTGAAGCCATCTCCCCTTCTCCCATCACACAGACCCACTATAGAGTCCGTCCCCTCCCTTCTCACAGCCCCTTCAGATGCTGACGGGCCGCTCTCAGCTCTCCTTCTCTTGCCTTCTCTTCTCCGTGCTGCTCAGCCCCAGCTCTCGGCCTGTCCTCGCAGGGAGGGCTTCCATCCCTGCCGCCATTTCTGTGTCCCTCCTCTGGCCTCGCTCCAGCAGCCCCCCGTCTCTCCTGCCCTGAGGACTCCACCTGTGGACGCAGTGCTCCAGGTGAGCTGTCACAGCACAGCAGAGGGGCAGGAGCACCTCCCTGCCCTGCTGCCCGCGCTGCTCTGCCTGCAGCCCAGGGTCCGCTGGGCTTTCTGTGCTGCGAGGTTTGGGGCTCAGCTGTTTCGCGGGACCCTGCGCAGCGCTCGGCGCAGAGGGCGTTGTGTGAGCACGGGGGGCGTTGGGACCGGGGGACAACAGCGGGTGCGATGCGGGCAGGCGGTGCTCACCTCTCCCGCAGCCGCGGTGCCGGTGCCGCCCCAGGCCGTCGGTCGGGGCGCGGTGCAAGCCACCTGTGCCACGTGTCACCGCTTATCGATCCCGCAGAGCGAAGTCTCGCCGCACCGGGAGCTGCGGGGAGGTGTTGGGAGCGGGCTGGTTCCGAGCTGGGCTGCGGAGCGCCGCCTGGGAGTCGGCCCCGTTCTGTCGCAGGGGACGGAGCGCGGTGCCACCCGCCCGACCGCGTTTTTCCCCCGGGCGGCGTCCCGCCGAGCAGCGCCGCCGCCCGCCGCCCGGCACCGCCCGCCGCCCCCCGCGTCACTTCCCCGGCCTGGCCCTATGAACGCGTGTCACCGCCCTGACGTCACCGCCGGCCCCGTGTTTACAGCCGTCCGCGGAACGGGGCGATCCGAAGTGCCGCCGGCAGCCCCGCGCCGCGCTATGGGGCTCCGCGCCCCGCCGCGCCCCGCCTGACCGCCCCACGCCTCCCCCCGACCCGCGGCACGGCAGCCTCGAGCCGGGGATGCGGGCACGATGCCCTCCGCCGGGGCCGCCGCGCTGGCCTGGGCGCTGTTTTGGCTGCTCGCCCCTCCGTCCGCCCTGCCCGAACCCCTGGACCCGAAGAAGAACGTGGAGCAGAAGGACGCCGTCTTCGACAAGGTCTATTCGGACTGGGTGGCCGCCGACACGCTCAACATCTACGCCTTCAACCACACGGTGCTGAGGAACAGGGTGAGCCGGCGGCCGCGGCAGGCAGCGAGCGGAGGTGGCCGGGGGGGGGTTGGTGTTCTCTTTTATGGGGTGTGTTCCCCTTTTGGGGAATGAGTTTCCCTTTTCTTAGGGAGTGCATTTCCTATTTCTGGAGTGAGTTTCCCTTTTTGGAGGTGTGTTTTGTTGTGGGGTTTTTTTGGAGGGGGATGTTTCTCATGTGGGGGTTTATTTCCCATTTTGGGGGATGTTTCCCACTTAATAGAATCATAAAACCACAGCATGGCTCAGGTTGGAGGGGAGCTCAAAGCCCACCCAGTGCCACCCCCGGCTGCCCCCCACCAGCTCAGGCTGCCCAGGGCCCCATCCCACCTGGCCTTGAGTGCCTGCAGGGATGGGGCACCCACAGCTCTCTGGGCAGCAGGGCCAGTGCCTCACCGCCCTCACATCTAACATCTCCCCTCTTACCATGTCAAGCCATCCCCTCGCTATCCTATCAGCCATTCCCCCTTGTCCTACCATTTTAGGGCTCATTACCCCAATTCGGGGTTTATTTCCCATTTTTGGGGCCGTGTTTCCCATTTCAGGGCACATTTCCCATTCCCTGCTGCCCTGGCACCAGGCATAAAGCAGTGCCTCTGCTGACCCAGGGAAACCAGGCAGACCAATGTCACCGCCTGGGGTGACAGTGTAGCCGGGCACTGGGGACAGCCCGGAATCCCACAGAAGGGAGGTGTCCTCCCAGCAGCAGGGACCAACACGTCTGCCAGCGCAGGCTGAGCAAAGTCCACGCGCCGGGGGAAGGTCTTGCCAGGCCAAAGTGTCACCTTCCCACAGACGGAGGGAGTGCGGGTGTCGGTGAACGTCCTGTCCGACCACAAGGACCTGCCCGTGCTCTTCGTGGTGAGGCAGAAGGAGGCGGTGGTCTCGTTCCAAGTGCCACTCATCCTTCGGGGGCTGTGAGTATCGATGGGGCTGAGGCTCCCAGGGCTGTTGGCACAGCGTGG